ACACACACACACATACATATACATACATGCATACATACACACACACACACACATATACATACATGCATACGTACATACACACATACACACACACACATACATATACATACACACATACATACATGCATACATACATATACACACACATACATACACACACATACACATACATACACACAGACACAAATACATACATATATGCATACATACACACACATACATATACATACATACACACACACACACAAATACATACATACATACAAATACACACACACATACACACATACATACATACATGTACACACACACACACAGAGACATACACACACATACATATACATACAAATACACACACACACACACACTCACACACCTATACACACACACATACATACATACATACATACAAATACACACACACACACACACACACCTATACACACACACATACATACATACATACAAATACACACACACACACACACACACACACACACACACACATAGAGGGGGCAGAGGCCACCTGGAGATCCCCAGTGCCCGCAGCGCAGACCCTGCAGCTCTGCCTGCTGTGCCCAGAGCCGTCCCAGAGCCGTCCCAGAGCCGTGCCAGAGCCGTGCCAGAGCCGTGCCAGGGCCGTGCCCAGAGCCGTGCCAGAGCCGTGCCAGAGCCGTGCCAGAGCCGTGCCAGGGCCATGCCCACAACTGCCAGCTGGAGCCGGGGCTGTCGTGCCCCCAGCCCCTGCAGCTCTCCCTTTGGCACAGCCCCGGGGGCACAGCTCAGCACAAGCTTTGCTGTCAGCGGCAGAGCCGTGCCAGGCCCCCGTGCCACCTTCGTTTCCTGCCTCTCCTGCTTTGTCCCACAGCTTCCCCACTAATGAGGGGCCCGGCCGAAGCCCAGGGCAGGACAGGGCTGTGAAGGTGCATTCGCTCCTGTCCCAGCAGCCAGGCAATGCCCTGGGGGTCTGTCCTGCCCCAGGGCCTCGGAGACACATCCCACATGCCACATTTTGGGCAGGAATCGTTCCCTGGGAGGGTGGCAGGCCCCGGCACAGGTGCCCAGAGCAGCTGGGGCTGCCCCTGCATCCCTGGCAGTGCCCAAGGCTGGGCTGGACGGGGCTGGGAGCATCTGGGACAGTGGGAGGTGTCCCTGCCCAGGAGCTTTGGGGATGAATTTTAAGGTCCCTTCCAACCTGAGCCATTCCAGCACTCGGCGGTTCTCTGTGTTTCCCACCGGGAGGGACAGACGGGCTTTACAAAGAGAAGGGAAAACCTCCGAGTGAGGGAGGAGAGAAGCACAGAGCTGAAGAGCAAACCCCCGTTGGATTCCTGGGCTGGAAGGGAAGAGCAGAGCGGCGCTGGCCGTGCCCGTGCTGCCGCCTGCAGGCACCGGCCCCGCGCTGCCCGGGCACGGCGGGATGCTGCGAGGCTTCCCGAACCCCTGCAGCCGCCAGGTCATCATCATCATCAGCATCATCATCATCATCATCATCATCATCATCATCATCAGCAGCAGCAGCAGCAGCAGCAGCAGCAGCAGCAGCAGCAGCAGCATTATCAGCAGCATTATCAGCATCATCATCATCATCATCATCAGCAGCAGCAGCAGCAGCAGCAGCAGCAGCAGCTGCAGCAGGGGCTCACCCCGGGCAGCGCTGCCTCCCACCCCGCCGGGCTCGGAGGCAGCCTGCCTCTGCTCCCTGTGCCCCCCAGCGCTGCCAGGGCGGGTCCTGCGGGCATTGTTGGGGTCGGGAAATTCCCTAAATCCACCCGGTCCAGCCTTGCTCCAGCACTGCCAAAGCCACCGCTGTCCATGTCCCTCAGGAACTCTCCAGCCCCTCCCCAGCTCCCTCAGGGATTCTCCAGCCCCTCCCCAGCTCCCTCAGGGATTCTCCAGCCCCTCCCCAGCTCCTCAGGAACTCTCCAGCCCCTCCCCAGCTCCCCCAGCCCCTCCTGGGGCTCCAGCCCCTTCCCCAGCCCGTTCCCTGCCCTGGCCACGCTCCAGCCCCTCGGTGTCCCTGTTGTGAGAGCCCAGAGCTGCCCCAGGACTCCAGGTGGTCCCTCAGCAGCACCAGCACAGCCTTGGGTGGCTCCATCTCCCAGGGGCTGGGTGCCCACCTGAGCTCAGGGCCCATCTGGGCTCCGCAGTGCCCAGCTCTCCTCTCCCAAAGCACTCCCACTCCCCTTCCTTTCTGGAAAAGCCAACAGCTGACAGGTTTTCACCACCACCTCCAGAACGGGCCAGAAATAAAGCAGCCTTTCAAAGCCAGCTGGAGAGAAGGAAATCCAGCTGCAGAGCTGTGGGAGCTCCTCCCTGCCCGGGCGGTGGGAACACGGCACCAGGAGCCTGTGGTGCCAGCAGCAGGCTGGGACCTGCACCCCGCGGGCACCTGAGGGAGGCTGGAGGGAGACAGGAGCATTAGGGCTGGAGAAGACCTCCACTAAGATCTCCAAGATCACCGTGTGCAACCTTCAGGAAGTGCCTGGGAAGCAGGACTCCCACAAACAGCTCTGCCTGGTTCACTGAGGCTCTCCGTTAAGGACAAATACAGCAACAAAAAATTATCAAGTCCTCCACAACTTTTTTCAGTTTCTCATTAACATTTTCACCAACTCGATATTTTTCCTGAGAACACTCCCGGGGTGACAAGCACCCACCAGAGCGGCGAGGGGCACCCGGGATGGCCCAGAGCCACCCCCACCCGCCTGCCAGGAGCCCTGGGGTGGCACGGCTCCTGCAGCGGGTGGGAAGGATGGAGAAGGATCGGTGTCACCACGGGTGTCCCAGCCGGGGTCCCTCCCCCTCAGGGGCACTTCACACCCCTGGCTTTGACTCATCGGGAATAACTCCACCAGCTCGGCGGCCCTGCGGCGCTGCCGGTGCCCGTGTGGGCAGGAGCCTCCCCCAGCCCGGCTCAGCGGCGGCACAGAGCCGCAGGGATGGCACTGCCGTGCCCACGGGCAGCAGTCCCTGCCTCCCACCCCGCTGGCAGCGCTGCAGCATCCCCCAGAGCCACAGCTCGGTCTGGTGGCCCCGCGCTGGGGACAAGAGGCTTCACAGCAGTGGCTCAGTGTTTTGGGAGGTGCTTATAGGTCATAGGGAAGCATTATCCTCTGAGAACCCAAAATCCAGGTGGCCAAAGCCTCTAGGGACTGCCACAACCCCCACCCTCCCCAGGTGCTGAAATCCTTCATCATTCAACAACCGCTGGGAAAAGTCCGTGCCTGGCAGCGCCCCCAGCTCACGGGGCCTCCAGAGGAGGCTCAGAGCCTGTCCTGCCTTGCTGGGGCTCCTGGCACTGCCAGCGGGCACGGGGGCAGGCAGCCCTGGCAGCACGTACCTACGACGGTGAGCACGTCCTTGTCGATGTCGGCGCGGATGTAGATGCGGCCCCGGCGCTCCGTGTGGTCCGTCCCGCACAGGCTGGGCACGTTCATCACGCAGCGCTTGTGCACGTTCATCATGCAGGCTGTGGGCAGGAGGGGACA